ATTGCCATGGTCTGTTGGGAGCCCCTTCCCTATACCATCAGCTAGAAACAGGCTTACCGGTTGTGAGCTAGAATGCTAGAGTCTGAGACTCAGACACACTGTTCTCTTCTCCTACACACCACAGCTGACTGTTGCTCAATGTCAGAAGTCATTGGAGTCATATATTTCGTCTAGTTTTCTAGTTGGTTTTGTGGGTGGGGGCAAGTTCAGAGCCAAGTACATCAATGTGGCAGAAGTGGAAGTTCTCCCAGGTGATTCAGATACAGAATAAAAGTAGGGGGATGTCTTAGGTTCCTGGGGCTGCTGTAAGAGTACCATAAACTGGGTAGTTTTAAGCTACAGAAACATATCATCTCCCAGTCATGGAGGCCAGAAGTCCATGATCCAGGCATGGGGAGAGTTGGTTCCTCTTGATGGCCACGAGGGAGGGTGTGTTCCAGGCCTTTCTCCTGGGATTGGAGAGGCTGTCTGTGCCCTGAGTCTTCACATCATCTTTCCTCCATGCATGTCTGAGTCTCCAAGTGTCCCCTTTTATAAATGTGCCTGTCATATTACATTAGGGCCACACCAAGGACCTTATTTTAACTGGGTTACCTCTGTAAAGACCCTGTCTCCAAATAAGGTTATCTTCTGAGGTGCTGAGCACTAGGACTTCAACATTGGGATTTTGAGGCAGTCCGTAACAGGGAAATTTAGATTCGAGTCTCAGTCCTTCTTCCCTGGATAACCAAGGCTGCCATTGCACAGTGCCTGCCTCAGGCTTGCAATCACTTGCACCTTTGTTTAACCTGAGGGTCCCTTTCTATCAAAAAACCAACCAGGAGGTGTTTGTAAACAGAATCAGCAAGTTGGATTGGCTAAGATGGTTGAAGACAGCACATAGCTTTTATTGTCAGGGGGACTAGATCCAGTTATTCCCCAACCAATTCCAGGCAAATCACAGCTTTCTAGAGGAGTTCAGTTTTACGTCCTTCACATCTGAGAAATGAGCACAAATACTTTTCCACAATGTTACAGGATGTTGCAGGTTTTTGTTGTGGAGATAATGCTGGTAGGGTGGTAATGAGTCACCTTAGTGGCTGTGGCAGGAAAGGCTGATGGGAAATAGATCTTTCATGGCCAGAGCTAGAGGAGTCCTCAGGGCCCAGTGGGGTACAGTGGGGGGATGTGATGCCTGGTGCCCTGGGGGCCAACAATCCCATGTCATTTTACAAGTTACTTTCAAGGTGACAAAGTTCAGCTGAGGAGTTTGCAATCCTGCCCTTGTGAATTGCGAACCTCTCCCCACGGGAAGAGCTAGCAGCCCCTCCCATGCCTGGCACACAGTGAACGCATCCGTGAACACGTCCTGTCCAGAGGAATTGTTTTAAAATCCTTTTTATTGTCAAAGAAAACACAAATATAGCAAACCACATAGGGCAAATGTATAGCTTTATGAATTATTCTTAGGTGACTGCACCCTCCCCTTGTAACCACCAACTGCTTGAAAAATAACTTTGCCACCCACTGCTGGAGCCCCATCATGTATCCCATCTGAACCACAGCCTTCTCCTGTTCCCCATATGTGATTACTATCCTGACATGTAGACATATCTCTTCTTTGCATTCTTTAATTTTTTTTATCACTCAAAAGGTCATCCCCTAGACAAAGGAATACTACTCAGGCATAAAAAAAAGAGTGCAACAATGCAATTTGCGGCAACATGAATGGACCTAGTGATTATCATAGTAAGTGAAGGAAGTAAGAAAAAGACAAATATGACATCACTTATATGTGGAATCTAAACACATGATACAAATGACCTTATTTACAAAACATAACAGACTCAGAGACATAAAAAACAAACTTATGGTTACCAAAGGGGATGGGGCAGGGGAGGGGTAAATTAGGAGTTTGAGATTAGCAGATCCAGACTACTATACATAAAAGAAACAAAGATCTACTGTATAGCATAGGGAACTATATTCAATATCTTCTATTAATAATAACCTATAATGTAAATGAATCTGAAAAAGAATATATATATATATTCTATATATATATATATATATATAGATGTGTAACTGAATCTGTGCGCTGTATACTTGAAATTAACAGAAAACCAGAAATAAACTACACTTCAATAAAAAATAAGCCCACAGGAAATGTTTTATTTATCTTTTAAGATTCATTTACTCCATAGATGCTCTTGGTCTTTCTTTTTCTTGTCATTTATCTGTTGAAGAACCTGGGCCTTTGACCACAGAATTTCCCACCATCTAGCTTCGTGGGTGGAACTTTCACATTTGCTTGTTCCTCTTCGTAAGTTAGCAACTGTTGAGGGCGAACAGCACAGCTTGAGAGTGCACTGCGGCAAGCAAAATGGTGAGATTCTAATTGTATTGTTGGTTTTCCTTTATTAGTCAGCATACATTTGTGAAAAGATCATGAAGTGGTTCCCTCACCTGCTCTGAGGATGACACATTCTTTTTCTTTGTTAATATCATGATGAACTCTCAGGTTTAAATATATTTGATGGATTTCAAGCCACTGTGATTATTACAATTTATTAAAGCTCGAATTGCTCCATCTTTGTCCAGTGGGAGTGTCTTCAGCTTGACCCCTGAGTCCTTTCAATAAGTTCCTTGCAGAATGGTGTCCCTGTGAAGAGCTTCACTTCAGTGCTGGCTGACTGCTTTTTAAGGGTCTTTGTCAGGCATCTTTCACTTCTAGAAGGCTGGTCCCACCTACTTAGTAAAATGCTCCAAGAAAGTGTCATTTCAGCTTTTGTATTATCACAAGTCTTGGGCAGAGATTTAACAACTCGAGGGAGGTTGTGCTGGTAAGTTTTGCACACAGACTGTGCTGGATGCGGCTGCATCCTTGGCTCTTCTTCACTTTCAGCTTGGCCACCACGTCTTCCTGAAGGAGGTCTCTTGGGTATGCCCATAGCATCTTAGCTCTCCCTTATCATAGTGTTGATCTTGCTGACAGCAATTGTCTGTTTATCCATGTGCCGATTTCCTCTGTTGCCCACAAGACTGAGTGACAGGGCCTGTTCAATGGCTGGTTCACCTCCATTCCCTCTGTGTCTGCCCACTGGCCAGCCTGTTAGGATGTCAACAGATAATTGCTGAAAGAATGTCTGTGTCCTTCTCCTAGCAGAGCACTCCTTTGTGGGGTTGAAATCTTCCTGTTTCATCTCTTCTTCCCTTCTCAGCACCCCAGCTACTTGGTGAACCCTAATCATGTCCCTCAGCCCCTGTCCACCAACACTGTTATTCAAGGCTAAGAAATGGGTTTCTACAAAACAAAGAGCAGTTAACTTGAAACTTGTTTCAGCCTCCACTGTGACTTCCTCTTTTAGGATCATTTTTGGGAAGTAGGACAAAGTTCCTCTTCACATTTCCCTACCAAAGTGGCCTTTGGAAAGTTTGGGGTACCCCTGGTACCCCAGGGCGTTCTCTCATCCTGACAGTGACGCTGAAGCTTCCTCTCATGGTCAGGGGCTCCACGCTATCCAGTCCCAGGTTTTTGTGACAGAAAGGTCTCGAATCATTAATGCTTCTGTCTTCCATCACTCCCATAAGCCTACACAAATACTGTTATTTCTGTTATCTTAAAAACAAGCACTTAATTACACTGCTTCCTCCCTCTTCCAAGGGGCCAGATGTCTCCTGAGTGCTTTACACCATCCCTAAAGGCAGACCCTAGCCAGGCCTTACCTGCCAGGTTCTGCTTTCTCTTCCCTGTCTGAACCTCACATGGGGTGACCAGTTGCCCCACCCCCTTCTGATTCTGCCTCTCACCCAGCATCAAAGGGGCTTTCCATCCTGAGCCCTGATTGCAGGTCATATTCGCCATTCAGTGCCTCATCAAATTCTCTGTTGCCTCAGATCTCTCAGCCCCTGGGCAGGGAGGGAGCTGAGAATACCCCACAGGGGGCTTCTCTCCCTCTGCCCCGCCCCCCTAGACAAAGCCAAAGCCAAAGCTGGTGGCCTTCTCAATGTGTCAGGCCCAAATGACACTGTAGCAGCCTTCGGAGCAGCCTGCCCTATTTCAGCTCTGGTTTCTTTTCTTTTCTGAGCCTGGACTCAACTTTGCCTAATCATCTGACCTCAAGATTTGGCTGTTTCCCAGATTCCTATAGCACTAAGGGAAGTTCCTTCCTATTATGGTGTTTCTCAAGAGGGCACAGAGGATTGCTTTAGGCCAGACAGTGTGCACCACCCCCCAGGCCCCCAGCCTTCTTGACTGGCAGCACAGGGCTATCTTCAGATGTCCCCAAGGGCATCTCAGTTCCTTGATGGAGGAATACTGACCTAGGAGGTGGTTGCGGAAGTGTTTTCCGCTTTATGATAAAACATCTGTAAAGAATTGCTGGCACTACCCATCTCTCTACTTCACAGTACTGATTTTCTTTTACTTCACATTTTCTGATCCTTTCACCCTCCCTCGAGTTCACATCCATTGCTACAATTTAGACAATCATTAACTTAAGTTAATGATAACCTGCTCTCCTCGCCAATGTGTATGATTTTCCCCTTCTTGTTGAGCAATCCTCTACAAGTTCTATGACTAGGTTAGGTCGCACTGGATTGAGGTACATAGGGGTAAGAAAGCTTCCTTCCTGCCCTTCACTATTAAAGTTTTCTTTTTTATTTGACTGTGCTGGGTCTTAGTTGTGGGGTGAGAACACTTATTTGTGGGGTGAGAACACTTAGTTGTGGCTTGTGGGATCTAATTCCCGGAGTAGGGATCGAACTTGGGTCCTCTACATTGGGAACTCGGAATCTTATCAACTGGACCACCAGGGAAGTCCCTAAATTTTTTCTAAAGCACGCGTGCCTGTAAATTTGTGTTGCATGCCTTTGTGATGAGTGCATATTTCTCCTTGACCTGGGGGTGTGACTCCCATGGCTACCCCCCGCCGCGATGGCCTACGGAAAAAGTGGAAGAGGCCCAGCGGGCTCTGGGGCTTCCTGTCACGGAGGCCGACGTCCGCTTGCCTCTCCCACAGGCCTGGCGCCGGCGCTGGTTCGTGCTGCGGCGGGGTCGACTGAGTGGCGACCGTGACGTGTTGGAGTACTACCGCAGCCAGCGTGCCAGCAAGCCCATCCGCGCCATCGACCTCAGCGAGTGCACCGTCTGGAAGCATGCGGGTCCAGGCTTTGTTCGCAAGGAATTCCAGAACCACTTCGTGTTCATTGTCAAGACCACGTCTCGCACATTCTATCTGGTGGCCAAGACGGAGGAAGAGATGCAGGTGTGGGTGCACAGCATCAGTCAGGTCTGCAACCTCGGCCACCTGGAGGACTGTGCAAGTAAGAGCCGACTGCGAGAAGGGGGGGAGTGGGGAGCTGAGGCAAAATGTGGCCCCAAGTGCACCGGGTGTTGGGGGAACGGGGTGGCCAAGCCCGGGCACTGCCCGCAGAGCATGAGGAGCCACTTTAGTGCCTTCATAGCTACCCAGTGGCTTTGCCATCATCAGGACATGCAGGCAGCGAAAGCACAACATGGGTGGGGACATTCTGTACAGCTCTGATTTTCCCCACGCTGCTGTTTCTGGTTTTTCTAGAAATATCAAATATTGCTGTCTTTAAAAAAAATTCTAGGAACTCCAGGTTTTCTGTTGCCTACTGTGTTGTTCAGTGCTACATTTTAGAAAGACAGAAGTAGGCTGCCTGTCATACACAGGGAAGGTTTCCGCTAATGTCCAGGTAGCTCAAGGTTTCTGCAACAGAAATGAGTTCTAAGTTTGCTCTAAACCATTTTGGGGCACTGGGAGCAAATGACCCATGTGGCACTTTGTCTGTCACTCTTGCTCTCTCTTACACACACACACACACACACACACACACACACACACACACACAGTGCCTATGCAATATACTGGCTATAGCGCACTTAAGGTTACAATTAACTCCCCTTCATGAATGTTGTTGCTGAGCCCCTGGCACCATGCCTTGATCCTCAAACTACGGAGTTCTGAAAGGTTGTTGCTGAACCATGCAAAGACACCAGGATTCTTGGCCTCTGGAGGAGAAGAATTAAATCTAGGGCCAGAGACGAGGCTTGATCGCTCAGAGCTTTGTGCAATAAAGTTTTATTAAATTATAAAGGAGATAGAGAAAGCTTCTGACATAGGCATCAGAAGGGGGCAGAAAGAGTACCCCCTTGCTAGTGTTAGCCATGGAGTTACACACTCTCTAGTTATGACAGTGAATCAAAAGAATGTCTGGAGGTTGTAAAGACCTCACTAGACCTACTCCCATAGTTTACACCTTAAGATAACAGGATTTGCCAGAAGGTTTTTTTACAGAGACTGTCCTCAAGCAGGATACATTATTGTTATATAATCCTAAGGAATGTAAAGGGACAAAAAAAGTTTGTCTTTTCTTCCTCCTTGAGAATTCCAGACCCCTCTCTCCTTGGGGACTCCTGGACTTCTTATCAGTCTGCCTAGGAATTGACTCTCTCACTTCAAATCTTGGTTTCTTTTAGCCTCTTAGCTTAGCGGGCTGAACCTTACCCTTAAATCCCATGGCCTACAGTTGCTTCACCCTTTCTTTCCTTAACTGGGTGCTTTATCGTTTTCCATGGAAATAACCACATTCTAACACTAGGTGGCGTGGAAGAGTCAGAGTTGCGTCCGTCTCTAGACGTTAGGTTGTGTGTGCTTCCTACCAACGAAGTCCTTTTCTTTTCACGACGCAGGCAAGCTTACTAAGTGAAGCTACTCAGTTACACCGTTGAACTTTGAGAGCACTCAAGTAAAAGGAAATGAAATGATGGCAGTCTGTTGTCCTTGCTGCAACAGAGTTTCTTTGCAAAGTCGCACTGAATTTGTCAAGACACTGCAATCCAGCAGAGCCTTGCTGCTCTTCACGCCTAGTCCCTACCTTCGGTGCAATTAGATGCATATTTATGTTTCATGTCATATGTGACATCTGTTTCCTCATTTGGCAGTGATGCTAAAACATAGATACAATATGCTAAGGGTAGCAGAAATGAGTAAGGCACCAGGCAGAAAACAGAAAGCTCTGGCCTGAAGTTGGAGGGTGGCAAATCCCCCATGACCTCTTTTGTTCCCTGTAGCAGCCCCCCACTTCGTTTGGAGGAGGATGTAGGGGTTGATTCCTCTTCATCTGAGAACCAAGCCTGAAGGGGCTGTACTGTGGCTTCTCACATATAGTGTTTGGTTCTGTCTCTGGTAACCATAGGTAGGTAGCACATCATGTGTACCCTGGCCAGTAACTCTATTACATGCTTTTGTGTACTAGCTCATCTCATTCCTAGACCAACTGTGTGGCAGAGGTACTCTGAGCGTAACCACTTTATAGAGATGAAAACTTGGATCAAGCAGGTAACTTGCCCAAGGTCACGACAGCTAGATACTAGAGTCTGCACTTGAATCCATGCAGTTCTGGGCCACTCTGACACAGGAATCCTAAATTCCTGCCGATGTGGTTCAAAAGGGAAATAAAAGCAGGCTTTTCATCCAGAGTTTCTGAATGTGGGCTTTACCAGCCATCACAACACTTTATTTCTTTCATTCCTTTTCCTTAGACATCGCTAGTGGTCAATCATTCACACTGCTCTTTATGCGTTACTTGTCTCTCTCCTCTGGAGGGTTGTAAATGCCAATGGGGGCAGAGTCTTTGTCTTGGCTGGCAGAGTTAGAACAGTCCTGTGCACATAGTAGGTGCAAGAGAAGGTATCTATATAGACATAAGTAGACATACATGTCTGTATCTGCGTGCCTGCACATGTGCGCAAATGCATATGTAAGTCTATGTATATATATTTGTTATGCATATATATGTGTATATTTGTTGAGTGAATAAACAGTGATGCATGCAGAATTGTGGCTGAGGGCCATGAAGAAGCTGTGTGTAGACTATCTAACTGCAGATTTTTAGGCCAAGAATGATTGCTTTATTTTGCCCTTAATTGATTCAACACTTCACTCTTGGAACATTGGCCTTCTTCCCCAGACGTTGTTTATAGCTTGGGGAAATGGTCTTCTCCATCAGTACAAACACCAGCTGTGATTTGCATCTTCTATTTGGCCTCTTAGATGCTGTCTGAGAAACTGTGTTCTAGCCATTCTTAAACATTCAGCTGGGAAACAATCTGTCCTGCAGATTCCATGGAGAGCGGCTGTCGCGCCCCGTCCTCCACGCAGCCCTCCTCCTCCAGCTCCCTTCTCACCAACCCTGCTGTCTGCTCCCTGCCAAGAGATGACCTGAGCACTAGTACTGTAGCCACTGAGGAAACCAGAAGTGAGTCAGAGTTGCTCTTCCTTCCTGATTATCTGATTCTATCCAACTGCGAGACGGGAAGACTGCACCACGCCAGGTACGCCTCTGCGCCCGGCCTCCTACCGCGCACCCCTCCATTGGCAGAACTCACACTGCTTCCTCTTGCAGCCTCTGTGACTGCCATGCCCTCACTGCGAATCAGGCTGTTTAGCTGTAGCATCTTCTAGTGGGTGTATCTCTGCTCCCCTTGCTTCCTGCTGCCACCAGGGCAGGGCCAGATCCCTATCAACCACTATCAAGGCTGAAGCATGTGGTACACCAAACAGAATGACTCAGGAATTTTGGTGTTGTGGCTTTCATTTCTAACCTTGCATTTTCATTTGTATCTTCCACTTAGATAATGAAAAAAAATCAACAAACCTTTTTATTTTTCCTCCCTGCATTAAGGGGTTGCTGTCACTGAGGGGTGTGGAGGGAATGTCACTATAAAAGTTAAAAAAAAAATGGCGACATCAGAGGAGGGGGTGTGATGGCAGCATGGCCTTTTTTTCCCCACAGCACGGCTTTGCGGTGGGTTGGTGGCTTTCTCCTTCAAACTTCTTGCCAAAGGTGTAGCAGTACCAATAGCCACTGGGGGACTTGTGACCTTTCAGTCAAATGTCTGTGCTTTTCTTCCCTCAGTCTCCCCACCAGATGTGATAGCTGGTCAAACTCAGAGCGCTCACTGGAGCAGGCTTCCTTTGATGATGTCTTTGTGGACTGCCCACAACCGCCACCCTCTGGGAGCCTGGCTGGTTCTTCGCACCCCGGGAACGGGTCTCAGGAGGCCCCCTCCATGAGGCCCCAGGCCGCCCTGATCTGGATGAAAGACATCAATGGCCCATCCAGGGACCACTTTTCTTTACCACTGGGGGAAACTTCCTTAAATTCTGCCATCCAGGTAGATCAAAATCAAGCCTCCTTGACCTGTGGGGTAAAAGAACTAGACGTGATGTCTAACACACCCCCTCCTCGCCCCCCTAAGCCGAGCCATCTCTCTGAATGGCGGCACAAGGAGCAGTTCCTGTGCAGAGGGCCCAGTAACCTCAAGAAGCCAGAAGGCACTATGGTGCCTAGAAGAATCTCCCTTTCCGGTTTGGACAACATGAGAACCTGGAAAGGTAAGTGCTGGATGATGCTAAACTTCAGGTACTGACAGCGGCCGGCTCCTCTTTCCTCTGTGTTTCCATGTCAGGGCATTGTTCAGCATCCTTTCCTCAGGCCATTCCAGTGTCCTAGCAGGGTCAGGCCCTGGGTGGAAGTGCACACCTGGAACCCCCCCGCCCCGATCCCAGCGTCCCCCTGCTCATCTCGGTCTGCAGACTGGGAGGTGTCTTTGGTCCCTGTAGATGCTGAAAGAACTCAGACTCCTGGTGCCCTAGCCATGCCCCTGCCCACGTGATGTCCTCCCCTCCTGAGACCAGGCTCCTGGTGTTCATTTTGAACCACTCAGGGACCCACTTGGTACAGAAGGTGGTGTCTGGCTTCCGCCAAGGGGGGAGAGCAGAGCTCTTTTCTTCTAGTTGTCAACAATTTCATCAGCCTCATCCTTCATGCCACCTGACACATTCTTTCCAACTTCTCCCTGGCTAAGCTGAAGTGCTCTTGGCCAGGCTATCACCGTTGAGGTGATGCTAACCTAGCCATCTCAGCTTGGTCCATTGGCATGCCCTCCTGGAGCCCCCTTTGGCCTTTTTCTGGAAATCTGTTGATTCCCATGGGGTTCTGTGCACACTCTCTCTCTCCTTCTCTCCTGCTGCATCTCCATCCAAATGTTGTGTTCTTTTGCATGGAAGTAAACAGAGGCTAAAATTCTTTGCCATGAAGTGATGGGACCAGATGCCATGATCTTAGTTTTCTGAATGTTGAGCTTAAGCCAACTTATTTTATTGGAAGGAACAGTGGAAACGAAAGCACTTAAGCGGATCTTTTGTTGCAACTTATAGGAAAGATAAAGATCATTACCTTATAGAAAAGATAAAGACATTCACGTCTCACCTTGGTGGCCAGGGAAGTCACCCTCCCTGAGGCTGGCTCTCATTGTCACTGTGCTCCAAGGTGTGCTCGTCAAAGAGAGACTGAAATGCCAGACTGAGAGACACTATCTTGGGCAGGTTGGTGTCATGGTCACCCAGTTTGTTGATGGATTTCCCCTCTTATTCAGGTGATGAGTCTTGGTAAAATGACACAAGCAGGAGTCGTGTTGTCAGTGGTCAGTTGGCACAGTTGCAATAGGGACTGATGCACCCTTTTTTTCAAGGGTGCAGCACACATTCTGTTGCATTCTGCCTCTTGCTCTCTGAGTCATCATGGTTTAATTTCTTTATGTCATGAGGATTTTGGTATTCAGCCACCTTGTTGGTTCTTCCCAAACAGTGTCGAACAGGAAGCCACCACAGCTCTCAGTGAAGAGTGTCCAGCTAACTGGGAGGTTTGTTTTGAAAATCAGTTGAAATGAATATCTACCACATCATTGGTTCCAGCATATAATAGGCGTTTAGTATCTTTCTGTGTCACATCTTTCCTGTTAAATATTTTCATGACTATATAAGGAAAGCTTTATGACTAACGGTTTATCTCAACTGAAATGTCTTCCTCAAGTAATGTGGAATCTTGTATTCAGTACATTGATCTGATCTTTCCTTTGAGAAAATGTAATATGTAAATGTGTGAAATCTTCATGAGATTTTGAAGACACCTCCTCTCCCCCAGATGTGGAGAACACATACATACCTGTCAACACACCCCTGTAATGAATTATACCTTCTATACTAGGCCGACTGGTTCTCAGAGCCTGTACATAGCACTTTATCTTCATGTTTATTTGATCCCTACTTCATTATCTAGTATTTTACCATAGTTTCTGTTCATATTTTTATTACTTGAGTGATGCACTATCTTTTATATTTCACACTAGGAACTGTAAGTGTTTATGGCTTTAAAGGTTATATTAGAAATTATCTTTAAAAAATTTAAATAAACTATCTTTAACTCTCTTAATTTCCCCACCCCGAATCCCTTAAAAACATTTAAAATAGAACTGTATTATTGGAAATTTCACACATTTACAAAAGTAGGAGATGGTATGATGAACTCCCATGTATCTATCCCCCAGTTCAGTTCAGTTGCTCAGTCGTGTCGGACTCTTTGTGACCCCATTGACTGCAGCATGCCAGGCTTCCCTGTTCTTCACTATCCCCCAGAGTTTGCTCAAACTCATGTCCATCGAGTTGGTGATGCCATCCAACTATCTCATCCTCTGTCATCCCCTTCTCCTGCCTTCAATCTTTCCCAGCATCAGGGTCTTTTCTGATGAGTCAGTTCTTCACATCAGGTGGCCAAAGTATTGAAGTTTCAGCTTTAGCATCAGTCCTTCCAAGGAATATTCAGGGTTGATTTCCTTTAAGATTGATTGATCTCCTTGCAGTCCAAGGGACTCTCAGGAGTCTTCTCCAACACCACAGTTCAAAAGCATCAATTCTTCAGCAGTCAGCTTTCTTTATGGTCCAACTCTCACATCCACACATGACTACTAGAAAAACCATAGTTTTGACTATACAAAATGTTGTTGGCAAAGTAATGTCTCTGCTTTTTAATATGCTACCTAGGTTTGTCATAGCTTTTCTTCCAAGGAGCAAGTGTCTTTTAATTTCATGGCTGCAGTGATTTTGGAGCCCAAGAAAATAAAGTCTCTCACTATTTCCATTGTTTCCCCATCTATTTGCCATGAAGTGATGGGACTGGATGCCATGATCTTAGTTTTTTGAATATTGAGTTTTAAGCCAGCTTTTTCACTCTCTTCTTTTCACTTTTATCAAGAGGCTCTTTAGTTCATCTTCACTTTCTCCCATAAGGGTGGTGTCATCTGCATATCTGAGATTATTGATATTTCTTCTAGCAATCTTGATTCCAACTTGTGCTTCATCCAGCCTGGCATTTCTCATGATGTACTCTGCATATAAGTTAAATATGCAGGGTGACAATATACAGCCTTGACATACTACTCCTTTCTCAATTTGGAACCGATCAATTGTTCCATGTCCTGTTCTAACTGTTGCTTCTTTTTTTAAAAAAATTTTATATTTATTTATTTTGTTGTGCCAGGTCTTAGTTTTGGCATGCAAACTCTTACTTGCAGCATGTGGAATCTAGTTCCCTGACGAGGAATTGAACCCATGTCCCCCTGCCTTTGGAGCATGGAGTCTTAGCCACTGGAACACCAGTGAAGTCCCTAACTGTTGCTTCTTGACCTGCATACAGATTTCTCAGGAGGCAGGTCAGGTGGTCTGGTATTCTCATCTCTTGAAGAATTTTCCACAGTTTGTTGTGATCCACAACAAAGGCTTTAGCATAGTCAATGGAGCAGAAGTAGATGTTTTTTCTGGAATTCTCTTGCTTTTTCTACGATCCAATGGCTGTTGGCAATTTGGTTGCCAAATTGGTTCCTCTGCCTTTTCTAAATCTAGCTTGTACATCTGGGAAGTTCTCAGTTCACATACTGTTGAAGAATGGCTTGGAGAATTTTTAGCATTACTTTACTAGTGTGTGAAATGACTGCAATTGTGCATTAGTTTGAACATTCTTTTGCATTGCCTTTCTTTGTGATTGGAATGAAAACTGAGCTTTTCTTGGCCTGTGGCCACTGCTGAGTTTTTTAAATTTGCTGGCATATTGAGTGCAGCACTTTCACAGCATCATCTTTTAGGATTTGAAATAGCTCAGCTGGAATTCTATCACCTCCACTAGCTTTGTTCATAGTGATGCTTCCTAAGGCCCACTTGACTTCACACTCCAGGATGTCTGGTTCTAGGTGAGTGATCACACCATCATGGTTATCTGGGTCATTAAGATCTTTTTGGTGTAGTTCTTCTGTGTATTCTTGCCACCTCTTCTTTATATCTTCTGCTTCTGTTAGGTCCGTACCGTTTCTGTCCTTTATTGTGCTCATCTTTGCATGAAATGTTCTCTTCGTATCTCTAGTTTTCTTGAAGAGATTTCTAGTCTTTCTCATTCTGTTATTTTCCTCTATTTCTTTGCCTTGATCACTTAAGAAGTCTTTCTTATCTCATCCGCCAGGCTTATCAATTGCTAAGTTTTGTTTCCTGACTTACTTTGCTGCTTAATTATAAAATATGACATGTCTATAGTGTTTCTATTCCTTAAAGTTTTCAATTTCAAGTGATTAATCAGCAACCTCTTAAAACACATTCCTCAGTTTAAATTTCTATGTTAATTTTTTTATTGTCGGAATGCATGAATTCTTACTGGAAAAAGTTAAACAATACAGAAGTACATACTATATCTTCTTTTTAAAGCATAAATGAAATCTGAATATATTTACTGTAATGCAACTCGTTATCCTGAGATCATGCCACCACTATGCTTGTCTGCCTCTAATCTGTTTTCCACACTGAAGTCAAGTGATCTCTTAAAAAATGTAAATCAGATAGTCGGTTCCTTGCTAAAAAACCAATCTAACGTCTTCTCTGTGCACTAGGAATAAAACCTAAATTTCTTACCGTAGTGTGTAAGGCCCATTGTGATCTGCCTTGCCTATATCCTTTATCTTTCTTTTATTTTTCTTCCACTTTTATTGTGATGTAATTGACATACAGAACTGTGTAAGTTTAAGGAACACAGCATGATTTGACTTATATACATCATGAAATGTTGACCACAGTTTTGTGAGCATCTATCATCTCATATAGTTATAACATTACAAAAATAGAAGCAAATCTTCCTTCTGATGAGAACTCTTAGGATTTACTCTTGTAACAACTGTCGTATATAACATGCAGCACTGTTATTTCTGTTTATCTTGTCATGCCTTATCTCCCAAATATGTATTTATCTTACAACTGGAAGTTTGTACTTTTTGACCAACCACCTTCATCCAGTTCTTTTTCTCCCCATTCCACACTTTGAACTACTACCTTTTTTTTGGCCTCATCCCACAGGCTTTTCCCCAGGATCTTAGTTCCCTGATCAGGGATTGAACCTGAATCCTGAGCAGCAGAATCACAGAGTCCTAACCACTGAACCACCAGGGAATTCTCCTTATTATTTTATTTCTGTCTATAGTTTTTTATGGCTTTTAGTGAAGTCTTGCATATCTCATTAA